AGCCCTCAACCAATTGCAACATACACATTAGAATACAGGCACAAGACAGGATGGCCACAAAAAAAGAGGGGAGGGACTCAATATCAGGGTGTTGAAAGCTGAAAAATTATTCATTTATTAATATTAATGTAATAAGGAAGTACTCAGAGAATATGTTTATTATTCTACTAAAACAAAAAAACTCCAACAAAAAACACTTTATACTACATGTTTATTATGTGATAACATTTTAGTTGCAAGAAATTACACATTACACTTCCTTGAGCATGTTTATTGTTTAAAACTACTATTTGAAATGTATACAATTCCACATGTTCACACAGTTTTCATTCTCTGTTCTAGGCCAAGTTTTCCAGTTTTTGTTGCATTTTAAACTGTGGGTAAGTCTTGCTTGTTTGTCAGCCAGTGTTCAAGTTTCCTTGGCTTCTGTATGATGAGAGGTTTTGGGAATTTCATATTCTTTTCCTTCTTCCCTCCACTCCTTTTCTCTTTGTTTCAAGCTCTTACTAGAAGCTCTGATGTTATGATCAAGAGTATGGAGAGTCCTTTCTCCTAAGATATCTTAAACTCTTTTATGAGGCCTTTAAACCATACTTTAAATCTTGTATAGCAGAGTCAGTGGCCATGTTCATCAACATGATTCAGGATCCATGGTATTAAAGGATACCTTCAGTTGGTCATGAATGCAGTTTATCAAGGCCAGTGCCACTTTGCAAAGAGACGGGTGCAATCTTAGTGCATTGTTTCCAATTACGATGTGTCCTGCAGAACAATCATTCCAAACATCTTGACGTGTTAAAACATACTTAAGGTCTACTGCGCATGAGTAGAAACTGATTGAACTTGTGTTGCTTCATCTCCATACCAATACTCTTATAACACCTTTACAGCACTATAAGATTCTCCATTGTTGCTCTATTAAATACACATAGCACAATGGGTCAAGTTCTGGCAGCCAAAAAAATCATTTTTTTAAAACTAATTCTAGTAGACACATGTAATGTATGGTGTATGTTATATAACATGTTCATTAGGTAATCCTTTGATTAAAAAAACTGTTATTTCTATGTTTACTTAAGTTATTACTCACAATAACACGTGATGTTATTATTTTGTTATACTGAAAACATATTTCCGATAGATACTTACTTCCAGCTATTCTCATTCAGTGTTACCCTCTATGTGCAGTTTTTTTACATGTCACAAGACTTTAACTCTCATGTACCCCACAATCAAGATGGTTCAACTGCATCTCACATGTAAATCATCATGCGACACCCTCCTGATGCATGTGATTCCCTCTTTCGATTCCATCAAACTATCACTTCCAGATCAGGTAGAAAAGAAAGCACCAGTTTTCAGTGAGGAAGAATGGTGGGAAGTGTTAGAGGAGGTAATTACCTATCAGAAATATATTTTCAGTATTGGAAAATAACAACTTCTGATACGGTACATTACCTCCACTCACATGTATAGCTAGAATCCCACAATGAATAGGTGGAGGAACTGGTGCGAGGGACAGAAAGAAATATCCTTTGAATGTGTCTGAAGAACACTGATGAAGCATGATTCCTGCACCAATTCTGTACCAGGTATACTCTGCCTCCAGAGTTGAAATAAGTGTCACATACATGGGCAGAAAGTGGGAGGAGCACAAACAAAAGGAAGAGAAAAAACAGGTGGGTCCTAATCGAACCATGATACAAAGGAATCACAATTCCGATGATGAAAGACTTTAGAAGAACCATGTACAGACAGGAATGTAGGGAAAGCTAAAATGGATGTAGAGTGCAAGGTGTAGAGTGGCTAGAGTACAACGGACCATACGTGGCTGTCAATTCCAGTTCAAAACCAAGCCATATTGGAATTACAATTTCCAACCCATGATAGGAAGAGGGTCCACACCATCTTCACCTCAAGTTGAGTAGAACGGAGTTATATACTCTTTTAACCGATCTATGAAATGGGGCACATGTGTGCAAATCCACAACCACCCACACATTCAGAAACCCATCATCTAAATGTTGGTATGAATAGATGTGCCAATGTGGCAGGTCACATCAAACCAAACTCAATTAGACAGTGATACCACTGCACAAAATCAGCTTCAGGTAGTGAAAACTCTCAGACATGGAGTGTGAGAGGGAAAACCTTTGCCCCAAATAACATTATCCTCTAGATAGGACCACACAAAAGTCAAAGTGCATGTAAGTGCAACTTAAACCTCCAGGACCCAACACACGGAGATGAAAATGATGAGGAAAGACTACAAAATTGAGTTAGGATGAGGTAACACAACCAAAACGTGTGTGAGGATTTATGTTGATTGGTCCAGCTTCAATCTAAAACCACTCAGGTGATGGTAGGATGAGGGATCCCAATCGCAAATGCAATGGGATGGGTTTACTCCAAAGCAACATCTTCCTCTGGAGAGGACCACACAAAAGCTGGAGCACAACATCAAAATCTGCACAGAAGTGGATTGCTTCTGTAAAAGATATGCAATCTCATCCCCTGGATAGAACCACACAGAAGTTGGAGTGCAGTGCCAACCTCCAGGTTCCACCACACAGAAGTGGATCAACTCTAGAAAATATAGGTAACCTCATCCTATGAATAAAACTGCACAGAAGCTAGACATAACATCAACCTTTGGTACCTACTGCATGGAGGTGGAGCATATTTATTTTGAAATATTCTCAACATCATCCCCTGGATAGAACCACACAGAAGTTGGAGTGCAGTGCCAACCTCCAGGTTCCACCACACAGAAGTGGATCAACTCAAGAAAATATAGGTAACCTCATCCTACGAATAAAACTGCACAGAAGCTGGGCATAACATCAACCTTTGGTACCTACTGCATGGAGGTGGAGCATATTTATTTTGAAATATTCTCAACATCATTCCCCGGATAGGACCGCACAGAAGTTGGAGCCCAAAACTAACCTCCAGATCCCACTGCACAGAAGTTGATTGCCTCATCACCCTCTGGATAGAACCACACAGAAGCTTGGCAAAACATCAGCTTCCAGGAACTGCTGGATGCAGTTGAACCACATTGATCATGGAGTACATGGGAGTTCAAGGCCTGTGGTATGCAAAAAAACTGTTTGCATATAGAGGGCAGCACTGAATGAGAATAGCTAGCTATATGTGTGAGAGAAGGTAATGTACCGTATCGAAACTTATAACTTGTTTAGTTTTATATATAAAAGTACTTGCAAGCTGTCAAAACATGATCCACAACTAACTGATACCCATTTCTATCCACACAAATATGTTATAATTTTAACTTAGGGTTTCCAATGAATTAGAAAATCTACATATATCTTGTATCACTTCAGATGTTGCAGTACTGCATACCACCAAAACAGTAGATAGCTCTCCTTTTTCTCAATGGATTTGTGTTCATGACATAAATTAGCAATTATAAAAACAGCAGAAACGTGGATAAGAATTTCACATTCGTAAAATACACAACACTTGTCCCTAATAACATATAATTACATGTAATATTTCATACAGATACAATATATCAATAAAATAAAATCACTTTTGCAACATGGTAAAATATTGAAAAAAAAGTATAAAACATGAAACAAAAGCACGACAAAAGTAAAACATTAAAGAAAAAAGCAGGAAGTGGCAACAGTATAAGCAGTTCAAAGGTCCCAGAAGAAAAATTAGATTTTGATACAAATGATGAGATTCAACATTATTTTTTTCTTTTTGTTCTAGTGACCTTTTCAGTTCCACTCATTTTCATAAATTGCATTTGAAAAGCTATAATTCTGTAATAAAAGGACAGATTATTACAAATGTAGCTTAATACATCAACTTCACGGGAATTACATACCAAACTTTGGAAAATGCACTATATGCTAATTTCTTGTAATATCCTTGTAAAGTGTTGTTTTTAAGAACTAACAAACGTATATTAGTTTAATACTATTTTAAGCCTGTAGGCCTAAATACAAAATATTTCTGCTGAATCAAACTAAGTTATTTATTAGTTTTAATAACAGCAATTAAATCACACGGCTCATAACAATTAAAAAATAATCAGAATTTGTAATATTATAACTATGACAACGAAAGATCACTGTTACAAAACAATGCTAATCACACCTCAGATGACTGTTATATATATATTAGGCATCCTATATATATCATAGATAGGTGATGATAATATATATATTTTACTACAACTGTGCATATTATTTTGCTGTCTGAAAGTTTTTCCTAAAGGTTTTTGTTTACTGTTAAGCACAAAGCCACACAATGGACTATCTGTGCTATGTTCACTGCAGGTATAGAAACACGATTCAACCAAATGAGTACTTCCTCTGAACAGTCAAACATACCACTTTCAGAATATATACAGAAACATGTAAAATGCCTCACAAGGTTTGCATCCCAATATACATCAGAGTACGAAACTCTATCAACACAACACACCATTTCAAACATCTCAATATGATGTGTGCATAATTAATCAAAACAAACATATACTAACACTTTTGGAAGAGTTTAAAAGTTAGCATTAAAAATAGTAAGAATGTTAGAAATTCTGCACAGGGTTCTTTTGCTGTGACTTGCAAGTTAGAGTCTTGATTCATCAGGAAACCTAGTTATATTAGAAAGAAGTTGAAACACAAGTAGGGAAACTAAGCACCAACTTTAATAACTAATCACATGCATATACACACACATGAACAAAAACATCTGTAATATACTGAAAATATTTTTTCCAGAATTGTGAAACATCTTGCTACTGACAGTTCAAAGTACACATGTCATGACTTTTTAAGAAAGTTATATTTAAATCTTAATTAAACTACTTTATTATCATTGTATATGAATAAATGTGGCATCAAAATATAATCACATTTTAATAAAAGTTTTAAGATCTTAATTTTATAAAGAAATCTTTTAAAAATCCTCAATCTCCCCAAATAGTGACATTTCTTCTCTAGGTCTTGTCTAATTTACTTACTACCCCTCTGAGATTTAATATAAATTACCCATCATAATATAGATATTATTATGGCAAACTTATTAGGTAAGATTATGTAAGATAATGAAAAATAATAATTTTTCACGAGGTATGGACATGAGTAGCATATGCATTATGTAATTCAATACAGTAACTTGAGCTACACATTCATCAAGTGATTTAGAACTTGTGTGGCAGGATTATTAGTTAGACATGGGTCAAAGGACAATAAAACAAAGGTATACTGTTATGAGCTTTAAGCTATTTAGGATAAACAAGTGTAGTTTCTTGTTACAATCTCCAGACATTCTAGCAAGAAAACAAAGAGTAATTTAGATTTATTTTGTATATTTTTATGGTGGTGACGAGGTTGGTCAAATTGATGGAATGCATATGCAGTTAAAGTAGAAGAAAATAATAGATAAAATGTAAAGTTTTACAGAAAAAAACAACAACAAACATTTGATATATATATTTTGAAACAAATGAAATCTGACAATTCTCAAGTGAAGAAAAGTATTGTCAATCTTAACATAACTACTTTACACTCAAAGTAGTAAACACTGACTCCATATATTCATGGACCAATTTTTAGTTAAGAAACTTAATTCAAAAATCTGTTTTTTTATGTTCAAAAGACTTGTAATATTTATTGAAAGCTTGCCAAATTTTGTGAAGATATATAAAACATATTAAAAATTATAGCATGACAACTCTAATGATCACTCTGGGGGTTATGAACTTGGCCGAATTGAAGGTTAAAAAATATTCACTGAAGCCCAAAATACATGTATTACTTTAAAAACAGTTTACATAGCACCTGACACACTGTTGTAACTTTTTTAGTCAGTTTCTATTCTCAAGAGGATTCTAGAATTGCCCATTATCTCATTTAGAAGTTTGAATGGAAAGAAATCCAAATCTGACAAGTTTCAAAGATAAAACACTAATGTTATTCTTAATTATTTGACAACTTCATAGCGTTTTAACAGATAAGACATGACATCACCAGAGGTAAATACAAACACACAATATTAACATATATAAAATTTTAATTTCTATAAGTGTTTCAATTTTGAAATGTGACCTTTATTAGACATTTAATATCTGTTCATAGTTACAATGTTTTCTGACAGTTATTGATTATGTGCATTTCAAAGTTTCTAATTAAAATATGTTCATAACTGTGCAAGAATTTCAATTTTAGATTTGGTAGAAATTAGGAAAATGAACCAGGTTTAAAATACAGGTAAATACTTCACCTTTTACAACAGCATAAGGGTCAGAAGAACCCAAACCAAACATTCCAACATCAGCCTTCTTAAGCTCCTTTCCAGCAATCACCTTGATCCTTAGCACACCCTGAAGAAGTAATGAAGAAAAATACAAAAATGTATAAAATATTATAACTAATGTTTTAATTTTAATTACACTAGTTTGGAACTAACCTATCTATCATAATTTCAATACACAAATATTTAAGTTAACTGAGAATTGCCTTAGTAAGGATAATGTGATTTAGTAATTCAATCTGATAACCAATACACCTAGGCTGAAATAATTATGCAAGTTTAAAATATTTTATATACAAAGAATCAAAAGGGGTCAAAATGGAAGCATTTCAATACACACACACACACACAAACATATTCAAATTGAGTCATATCCAATTCACTGGGAAGCCTAAAAGACATCACATTACTGAGTTTAATCAATAGCTATAAAACTGTACTAAAATAAGATACACACAGCAACAAGACAAAGAAAACAAGCTACTCAAGAAGAAAACCTTTGGAATTCTATAAAGGTCTCTCTCTTCATTATTTGGGTCTAGACACTAAAATCAGAGAATAGAAAGTAATCTATAAACCTAATGTGTCATTAAAACAGACAGGTCAAAATGGGCAAAATACATAAGGTGTACGTTAGTTAAGAGTGATTATTAGGATCAGGACAGTGGCTAGCTTTACAAAAAAAAGGGGGTAAATGAAAGTTTTTCAGAACATTTTTGGTGTATGTAATTTTTAAACATACTTGAAAAAATACAACTTTGACAAATTGTAGCAATGATGGTTTTTAATAATGCAAATTTGTTTGCTGGGAGTATTGAAATCAGTTTCATTTAATCAATAACCTTTGCTGTGAATGAGATGTTTTGATGATTTATCTATCATCTGCATACATGGCAACAAGTTCTTTGAGGAGTTTCTACAGCTTTTAAATAATGCACCTAAAACACAAAATAAGTACACGCACAAAGCAAACAACGTCCTATAACTATCATAAAAACTGAAAAAAAAATTGACAACACTTTTTAGTGAAAACAACGTAGTATTATGCCTCATATGATAGAATAAAATTTTGCCTTTCTATTAGTTATAAATGATATAATATAAAATGTCAGAGAGAATTATTAGCAATTTGTGAAAGAGTGGAAAGTGAGAGGTGGTCATACAAGGTGGGTCTGATCAATTTGTGAACGAGTGGAAGTAAGAGGTGGTCACAGAAGGTGGGTCTGATTTTCTACTTTATGAAATGGGTAATTTATATTATGATGGGGACTGTGCAGTTCAAAGGTAGTCTCTCTGAGCCCTTTGAAATACGCAGTGGCGTCAAATAAGGCTGTGTGCTGGCTCCCACTCTTTTTGGGATCTTCTACGCCCTCCTCCTGAGATATGTCACTCTCATGTCGGCCTCCTTAGTCACAAGAGACGCTGCTCTAGACGAGCAATCAACATGATGGACGGATGCTCATTCCTGGTCAAACCTGGCCGAAGGAGGCCTACTAATTTATATTAAATTCCATACATCAGGGAGGAATGGTAAATAAATCATAGAATGAGGAAGACCTAAAGAACAAATGTCACAATTCTCATACTAGGGGAGACTAATAATTTTTTTAAACATATTTCTTTATAAAATTAAGAACTTAAAACTTATATAATATTGAAAGTTGATTTGTTAACTATGTTTTGATACCAAGTTTATTTGTATACATTAATAATAAAGTAGTTTAATTAAATTTTGAATGTAAATTTGTAAAAGGCCATGACATGCATAATTTGATCTCCTAATTGGGAGGTGATTAAATACTTTTTTCTCCTTTGCCTTTTATATGATGCTTGATTTGTTAGTTAATTATTGATTTAACCTTTGGTTTACTGTAAAAATAAATTATAAACAAAAGTAATCATATTTCAACTATCAAGCAAAAAAATTGCAAAAAAAAGAAGTATTTTTTAAAGTTGAGCATCAAAATTATGAAATTTCAGATTTAATGAAGATGATTTCTTAAAAAATGTTGTCAGTTTCCAAGAATCAGTTGTTTCATCAAACCTTTCATTATAAGCAGTTGAACAAGTGTTGTTCTACAACATACTTTAAAAAATTTATTATTAAAATAATTTTCCACCTTATACATTCACCTTTCTTTATTGTCTCTATTTTTAACCATTTTTTAAGTCTTTAAAAAAGACTAAGAAATCCATGAGACCAAAAAGTTTCCTATTAATACGTTTCTATTCCCACTATTTATGATGATGATTCCACCCTTATCAATTTGCAGACTACCACATTTATAAAAAAATTATTTCCAAATAAATAATAAAAGCGTTTTATAAAACAGTTGACCACAATTCAATCTCATAACACTATTTCTTTCTCCACTGTGAAGATTTCTACATTATTGAAACTTTTCATGATGTGGGAAAACATATTAAAGAACAATAAGTTAAACCAGTAAGCAGTCTTTAATATCCAAAATCTGCTAACAGTTTTAAAGTTACCTTTTTTCAAGAAGATTTTTCTATTAAAAGGCTAAGAACAAGAATACTTACAGTTGGTGGTACAAACTTCAGTAAACGCAAAGGAACATTTTCTACCAGAGAAACATAGATTTTATTGGGTAGAACCATAAGTGCCGAGAGTTGATCTAGAACAGCTTGACGAAGAATATCACTAAAGAATGAAAAGAATAAGCCTTTCACAAAACCATTAAAAGGTTTTTACCAGTAAATTTTATTTGCAGCAAAATTCTTCCCATTGTCAAGTATCTATATTTATATATATAACAGTGACTATACAAATTCCACGTTACTTTAAAATTAAATCGTTAATTTAGAAAAAAAAACAACACTAACTGTAACCATGAAAAGGTTAAATACAGAGGGATGATTGTTATATTGAAATGATTTTTCACATGAAAGTCAGCAAGTTACAGGATAACCACAGCTGACATAAAGATGAAATGGAATGGTATGACTCTGAACTACATTTTCAAAGTGTTTGGCATTTTGTAGATATCTTGATGCCACCAAATATTTTATACTCCCAGATCATTAACATGTTTTCAGATCAAGGATTTAGACTTTACAAAGAGGGGATACTCCTTGTACTTAATGACACTGGAAAATAAAGGAATATGGGTCAACTTGGGGGACGAAGACCATCCAGAAAAAGACCTGCAACAAGTTGTACTCCAATGTGGTAAACAAAGTGTGACATTTTGTAACAGGTGAGAATCCATGAACACAAAGATATTGATGTCCATGTGTCCAAGGCAACAGTAAGTGACAAAATAAAGAAGGATCTCCATCTCAAAAAGTGAAAGAAGTCACATGTATACAAACTGCTTCCATGACATATAGTTCAACCACTGTATACTTCAGGAAGCTGGGGAATGAAACTGGTTTTCATACGAATACATACTGTTCAAGTTGCCGGACACAGCCCTTATAGTTTCCTGTGCAACTGGACAGTTGAAATGGGAGCTGAGAAACCATTGTCCTTGTACACTAAACAGATCATAGAAAGTTGCAAGTAAGAGCAAGCCTATTGCAATGGAAAATATCCCGCAGGGTTATGGTCAAGATGTACTGTCATCAGATACAGCCCGACAACACATAGCAACAGACTGTGATGATGTGGTGAGGTTCCAAAATCATTTTCATATATAATGTACTCAATCTCTAAGACATGTAACTACATTATTTCTACAAATATTGCACTTTTTGTGATCTATAATTTACTGTTTCTAGCAGTCACACTAATCACTAATAAAAAGATATTGTCAATCAATAAAAATTTGTGGGTATAATTTACAATTAGAATTTTAAATGTAAAGAATGAAACTTAAAAACGTTTACTTGCAACGGTCCTTTTGAGTGTTCATTAAATGTTGCTTTAAGGTTTCTACTACTTTCTCCCAATTTGCATATTTAATTTAATACATAGATCCATTTGTGTAGTCTTCATTATTGTAAGGTTTCTTTCATTCTTACTCCAGGTTTTGTTATGAACTTTGTTTAATATCTATGTTTTTCTGTAAGTTCATCCATGTTCTTGTAAGCTGTTTTCCTGTTTTATATATATGTGGGATATTTCCTGTGATTGTTATTTTTTGTCTTACTTCTTATAATGATTTGTCACTAACTTTTTCTGGATAATTATTTAAACTCTGATAAAATAAAAAGTTGAAGTATAATTTATTTCACCTGAACTTCTTCTGGTGAGAAAAAGTGAAAAACAACATTGTACGAACCTTTTAACTCTTTAAACCCATAATTTTTTGTGTAATCTGCTGGAAATGTTTACATGATTTCCTAATAATTGTCATCATGCCTTATAAAATTTCAATATCCTTAATTTTATTTTTCCCTCCAGCATCAGGGGTAACCACACGAAGCACTGTTGAGTAAATAGCCTCAGATCTCTCCCTGTTGAACATTTGGTGTCACCATCCATTGGGTAAAGTGGTATTTTTGGCCGGACGCTAGCAGCATCCATTTCACTTTAAGGAGTTAATGTAACTATTTTTTTATTGATGTCACTTGCTGATTGTTAACTGATGTGTGTTTCATTGTGTTGTTCTTTCTATGTATTGCGTTCAAGGTGAAATCATATGATATCTAACTTTATAGTTGCTTCTTTTCCCTATTGACTTGTGAATTTTAATTAGAATGAAAAGTTAATTGTTTAAAGAAGTTTTGATTATCCTAATTATCAAAACTACACAATACTTCATCAATATTTCCCCATAAATTGCATAGGTGGAGTTAGGCTAAGGCACTCTGAACTGATTTGGTTTCTATAGAAATCATGAACACGTTTTTCTAGAGAACGTGATACAGGTTGTCTCTTAAGTGTATTTTTTTTATATAAAACTTGAGAATTCAAAACAGTTCATTACAACAAAGTTTGTTGAATTAAGATCTGTTTTATGGTTTTCATTTGATTTTTCCATCGCTATGTTAACCTCTTCTGTATCAGATTTTATTGGAAATCAGCTAAAAAAAAAAGACAGGTTTCCTAGTTTTGCTTTATGATAGCCTATTACAAAACGTGATAAAAATACAGTGAGAAACGGCTTGCTCAAATTAACAAGGCAAATAATTTTTGAAACACGTAGGGTGCCCGAGTTATCTTGGGCAAATCACAGAAGGGATTAATTGCCTCAGATGTCAGCATTTACGGAAACATTGCAATTACCTCAAAGCTTTATAGTTACATTTTGAAGTTTTTTTAGCTAACTACATAAAACTCTCTCATTGTTGTTTCTGATTTATCAAATCTTACAACAGCCAAGAAAGACTTGCCAAGGTTATAGTTGAATGATGCATATGTAGAGATAATTAGCTCGATATTAATAGGGTTTTTCTGTATTTTTAAACTGCCAAATATTTCTTGTGTTCTAGCACCTACATTTTTGAATACTATTATAATTACACCACCTAAAAACAATGTAAATAACACAGACCTAAGTATATACCAAAACCTATAAGTTTTACCTACATAATATTTTAAACATACATATACACACAAAAAAATTTCAAGCAAACTCAAATATATAAGATATGCTCTGATGCCTATTCTTACCTAAGTCCAGGAATGTCAAACACATCAGCCAAATTTGTCAGGTTGAAATCAATTGCCTATACCAAAAACAGAGGATATATATATAAAATTAATTTGTTCCTTGTTTTATAAAAAAGTGTCTTCATTTGAACCAGACAACCTTCAGCACATACTTTTGTTTATACTTAAGGTGAGAGTTCTAGGATTTCTAAGTTACTTACATTTCTGATGGCAAATTAATCAACAAAGAAATTAATAATGGTCAAAGGCAAATAATCAATAACCTAGTAAACATAAAATTCTTGAAAAAATTATATTAAGAGTAAAAAAAAATCACAAAAACGAACGTTTTTTGGCACAATGAATGGTAAAATCTTTACATTAGTTACAGCCGACAACTTTCAATAACAGTTACCATCATCAAATTGATGGCAATTGTGTTACTGAAACTAGTCAGTTTTGAATAATAATATATTTTTTACCTTTCATTATGCTAAAAAAATGTCAGTTTTTGTTTTTTTAAACTCTTAATATAGTAGCTCAATGTGCCTGACAAAAAATTATGGAACAAAATGATATTGATAACAATATTACAGATAAAGATAGTAACTGACAAAACATAATTATGTTGATGACCCTGAAGAACCAGATACTATAGTATAAACTTTAAACAATTATACTCCTTAAATTGCATCAGGATTCAAAGTACAAAAGTCAAAATATCAATTTCATGAAACTTATTTAATAATATCAGAAAATACTGTTTCTGCTATAAAACATTAAAAATATAGCTATTGAAATATTTCATAATTATCTTGACTTTAACATAAAACAATAAGCACTAATAATTTCTCTCTCTCAAACAAAATAAATTAATAACATCTTTATATAACACCCCTTTTCACAGCTGTGGAGAAGCACAGCACCTTACTGAAAATATGAATAAAGTGTGCATTATATGAAATAGCTATGTCACTGCACATTTAAAAATATGCTCAGTATACAGTTCAACAATATCCATTTTCAATCTATAGGTGGAGACACTGAGGAATTTATCAGACATGTTATGCGATATGCTTTGATTATTAGAAATAAAGAATCAGTGGAGTATCTAATATGAGATATAGTATTTATCAAAACTTTTTCTTTAACTATAGTTAAAATGCATATTTCATGCAGATATACACGAACATCACTCACAAGTCTCAGTAGAAGAAACACATACATTTCTCATGAATTTAAATATAATGATATTAACTCTTTCAGCAAGGGCTAGGTCCCCGAGATTGACCTCATAACCATTTTGTGCTTGTTATAGTTTT